GGGGGGGGGGGGGGGGGGGGGGGGGGGAGACAAGGGAAAGTTTGAATTTACACTCGAGAGAAAAAAACAAGGAAGGGTGTCAGCACACATGGTCCGGCGAGCCTAGCCTGTTACAACGCCGCATCCATAGAACGACATGATAGGGAAACGCAGGTCATTACAGTACCAGAAGCATTAACGTAGCTGGTTGCGCGAGCGTACCACGACGGCCAACTGTGTTTTAGCAAGACAGGAATGATGATGCTGGATGTACCCAACGTAAACCTGCTTATACGGCGGTGGCCACGAGGGTTTAGCCTACGCCGGTTTTTTCTACGCAAACATGTTGGATAAAGTGTGGAATCGACGGAATCTGGGGGGGTTGGGTTATGGTCTACGCAACCTCTGCCCCTCTATTTCACAGAGAAAGTTAATTTCTTGCTGAACCCCTGTGCCGCTCTCTTTCGAGAGAGTTCAAAGAACGGGAAGAGAGAGAAAAGGTGGTGTATTTTATGGCGCGGCAGCGAAAACACATTGTGAGATGCTTCTGTGCCCGTCGTCGACACAGTGCTTGAGAAGAGGTATAGTCCACTGTTGCTGCGCTCCTGGATTCTTGCTCACTTTCCTCGCAGACTTGACATTGTTCCGCAAATTTGCGCGTGTTCCGTCACGTGCTAAAACATTACGTGTCTTCTTGCCGTTTGACCGATGCTCTTGGGCTTTAGTTTTCTCGGGCAGAGAATGATATTTGTTTAAAAAACATGGCTTTCGGCGGTGGCATCTCGACGATCCAAACAATAGAGGCGAAACCGACAGTCCGGTCGAAAGCGTCAAATACTGGCCGAAGCCAAGTTCTTTAGTAGTACTCTTACATAGCACAAAGACTGACCGTTCGAGAGAAAACCGGGTTCGAAGGGGAAGTGTTTTCTAACGCTCTCTACTGAGCGGCATGAATACAAAGCGGTCGTTTCGCCGCCTCAATCGCCCCTCCTACTGCTGTTTTCGTTGCCTAATACTTAAGTACATTCTGTCGACATAACCTCGGCGACAAAAGATATTGCACCCGCCGGATGTAGTTTCAAAGGTCGAATACTCCATGACGAAGAGGGTGAAGAAGTCAAGCGACACGTTTTCGGAAATCGCCCCATGGAATAGTTTCCAACGCCGCCATTTTCGGCGCCGCCTCTCTTTTCTGCTGGAGAGTATTCGGGCCTTGCAAAACGGTCAAGGGGGTGTGATGTCTTACGTCACGCACGGTAGTTACATGCCATAGGTCGCATAAGATATCACACAACCCCGACACCGATTTCCAAAGCTCGAACTCTCCGTAGGACAAGCAGTAACGGTGGCGGAAATGGCGGCGTTGGAACTGTCTCGTCCGAGATCTTTCCGAAAAAGTATCGTTTGATTTCAGCATCCTCTTCGTCGTGGAACATTAGAGGCTTGAATTCGGTCCAGAGGGTGTGGTATCTTACGTCACCTACGGTATGTTGACCGAGTTCTCCCTTTGTGGCGGATACCGGAAGAGGCGGTATTGTATGCACAGGTATTGTATGCACACAACATCAAGATTTCAATCATTTTTGGTTACTGGTGCTGAGAACAAAGAAGCACCTGTCGCCAAACAACAGCAGCGGGTTATTCGTGGTCGGCATAATACATACCAGTTACTTGCTGACCCCGGGGAAGTTGGTACAACGTACAACACAGCAAGAGCAGTAACAAAAAGTGCTGGCTACATGGACACCACCACATGATACGAGGTGCACGTATGGGGTATCGTAGCGTGTCTACCACAACAACAGCAGGCGTGCTGATTGCTGAGTGGAGGATTCTCCGCGAGCTACAAGCTGCTTGTGACCTTTTTCGAAATCGCGCCCAAAGGGGGGTCAGTTACGGATGAGCGAAACAGTCGTCGCCAGCGGGCGGAGCCACTGGCCACATCGTTTGCGTGTGGACCGCCCCAGTTGTCCCGGTTTCCATCTCCACACGCTAGCACGCTTTGTTGCATGCTCTATCTCTTCTGTGTACAAAGTACAATACCTGTGTGCTGGGCGCTGGATCTATTTAGGAGGAGTTTACAGGGTACATGTCACGTTTTTATGTCTTGGGCTCACCAAGCTGTTCAAGGCTCTTCGGCCTCTTCTGTTCGTAGTCATGAACTACCTGCCCCACCACACCGGTCGGCTCGAGTTCCATGCTGACGGCGTCGCCTGCTGGCCCAAGCAAGCGAGAGGAGCTGAGCTGGGCGAGCACGGGGCCCCGTGAAATATAACGATAGATTCCACGTAGCCCCTTAGGAACTACGGAACTGCAGACCAGAGACGTGCAGACGCATCTACCACACAGACCCTACACTACTACTGCTGTACTACTGCTTACCACGTGACCTACGCTCCTGTACCTGACAGCTGGCGAGCTTGTGAGTTTCTTGTGCACGAATGATGCAGGTGGCGAGGAAGCGGCGGTGGGAGTAAGTTCCGTAGAAAATGCTTGATCGTTTTCGTGCTGTCGCCCGCTGCACACAAACATCAAGATACAAGACCGAGTTTCTGAATGCATCCATCCTGTGCGTACAGCAGCTTGCTTCCCTCCTGCTTCCCACAGCAGTACCGCTATGGGCAATACTCTCGGCATGCGGGAGAGAGAGAGACAGCAATACGTTTACCCGCAGAAGTTGTCTACTTCGTTCAGTTTACAAGAGCGCCCACGCAACAAAGCGAATGACCCTTGTTGGCAGATGATGAGAGTAGCCCCTGTGTTGCTCCGCTCTTTTCCTTTTCCGCCCTTCCTTTCGAGTCAACGCAAACTGTTCACTCGTTCCCGTAAGTCCCCGGCCAGTTCAAGTGTGGCTTCTGCTGGGTATTGTAACCTAGGCGAGCCCCTGATCGTACAGCAGCTTTAGCCGCATATGCCGACAACACCGTAGGTTGCATACTGTAGGATAACGACACGCTTTTGCACAGATTTGCAAGCCCACGACGAAGAGGATTCCAAGATCACATGACGTCGTATGTATACATACCTCCAACTAGTGTTGGATAATATCGTATCGATTTTTTCGATATATCGTATCGATTTATCGTATCGATTTATCGTATCGATATCGGATATCGAAAACATTTTAACTTTTCGACATTTCGACATTTCGATATCGATACGATAAATCCATAAATACTCCACGGAACCCCCACAGCTGCACACCACACAGCACACAGCAGCTGCACGCAGTGAAATGCGCGCGTTCAACGAAGTAGCTGCAGCTACAATCCATTCATCTCTCGTAATAACTGTGCCATTTATCTCTCATTGTTGTGAGAGCTTGGCTTTTCTGCGACAAGCAAGCTTGCTTTTGTTGTTGCGGCGTGCGATACCGCTGAGCTTTCTTAAGCAGTAGTAGTGTAGAATAATCAACTGATGAATGAATATGATTTTCATTTTTCGGTGTAGATTATTAATAATACCAACATACATACTGTTTTTTCAAGCAGTTGGCTGTACACTGACGGCAGGTTTTGGAGGCCTATTTTCGGGTAATTTCGATGGGAAATGAAGCGAAATTCCTCCAATTTTTTTGCCTCCGCCGGCGCCTCCAGCGGGGCCCGCTCACCAGCCGGGGGGGGCTCGCACAGCGAGCTTCCGCGCCTTCGCGCGTCAGCTCACTGTGCTCGCCGGTCTCAGCCACTAACGGCTCGCTTCGCTCGCTAATATCGATATCGATATCGAACACTTCACGGGCGATATCGTATCGAATATATTTATTAAATCGATATCTAACACTACCTCCAACACAAAAACACCGAGCGAGGACATGCTGCTGCTAGCTATCGGTGGAGGAAGCGAGAGGAGAGATAAACGTTTGGTTGTGTCTCGGTTCACCGCTTGTTGTTGTGTCCTGCAGCGAGCGCCGCCGGCGACCCTACAGAGAGGCACATCACACCAACAACGCAACGGGTCGAAGCTCTTTGCTCACATGGCCATCTCTTCACTGTCGAGACGTCAGCGGGTGACCGCGCTCCTTGGGGCCTCTGCCGTGGCGATACTGTCCTGGGCTTACTTCGTGGAAGTTTGGAAGGGGGTAGTGGTTCGAGGTGGTGGAGACACAGATGCGGTGAGATTCTTGTGACACGAAATAATTACCTAGTGCAGACAGCATCGACTAATGTCGTTGTTGTTGTGGTTGTCTTCACACTAAAAACCGTTCGGTTCTCTCTACCCAGTACCTTCTTCTGTCCGTACTATTATAGTCTACCACTTGACGGGGTCGATTCCCGTGGTCACAAGCTAACTTACCCAAAAAAAGGTATACGAAAATAAAAATGGACCCGTATATATGTATAGAAGGTGAGCAAAGAAGCTTGTTGCCTGAGCTTACTGCATCCTGTGGCACGGCAGTAAATGTAGCACCGAGCAGGAGTTGCGATGGCAGAGACCTCTATCGGGAGATTCCGTAGACAATACCCCCTGATGTTTCGTACGGCAGAGTGAGACGATGACGGGCAGAGCGGAGGCCCCGCAGTCCGCAGTCGCGATCGTTGAGTCACCGGGAAGACAATGATTTGGCGGAACCCCATTTTAATGGCCCTGCACGCGTGGCGATATTTGACATGTTTGACGATCGATCTGGTCAGAATGGCTACTACAAATGGGAACCCACGCAGAAGTCGTACATCAAGAGCGCGCAAGCACCGGCGGGAGCGTGGCGAGTCCCGAACGTCTACGATTTGGTGAGAGCTTGGGCAACTCTATTCTTTTTGTTCCGCTCATCACTTTACGACAGTTAGTCAGCGCTCGCACACAGCATTGCTGCCGGGTACTGCTGTAGGAGCTCCAATTCGTGTGGTCACACAGAAGGGTTCTTCCCTCCCCCTGACGCCGAACATCTGCGTTTTGGTGAGAGGTTGGGCGTCAACTCTTGTCCGTTTCTTTTAGTTTTTCTGCCGCAAGGAAATACTAAAACTGGTAAATAGCATACAGCGGCACTTTAGTTGACCACGCCGTGACGAATGGCGTTTGATCGAGAAGAAGCTGCAAACCTTTAATGAGTGCGATCACCAATCCCAGAGACGTCGGGTATTGTCCTCGCGGACGGGGAAGCACCGCTGGTGAGTGTTGGGGCGGTAAGGAGGACGCTTACAACATACTTGACCCGAGGAACATTGCCTTCACACAGGAAATTTCCGTCCCGTCCCCGAGAAAGGAACAATGGCGGCAACGCGAAAACGACGTCCCGCCACGTTTTTTTTCTCTTCCACCCGAACAGAACGAAATCCCGCCGCGTTTTCTCCGCTCAAACAGAACGAAATCTAGCCGCTTTTTTTTCTCCGCCCGAATAGAACGTTTTCCCGCCGCGTTTTCCTCCTCCCGAACAAAACGGAATTCCGCCGCGTTTTTTCTCCGCCCGAACAGGTATCTCGCGGGCCTCAGTTCAGGAAGGACGCCGGGCCGCTTTATTTCTTGAAGGCCATCGACAAGCAGCAGCAGTCGCGGGTTTGGTTCGTGATGCGGTCGGGCGAACCGGAGTACCGGAGCCCGAACGCCCTTTCCGTTCTGGACAATACGCCTCCGACTACCGGTAAGAACGCTCCCCGGCCTGCCCGCAGTCAACCCTTGAACGATTATTCGGTTGCCATGGTGTTTTGGGTTGTTGCATAGTCGAGAGAATCAGTCGGTCAGTTGTTGTCGAAGTTGGGTGGCGCTTATGCCCCCACGCAAAAATACCGTTGCGATGGGTGGGAATCCCAGGTTCTTCTGT